AACGGTCAGATGGCCTTCTTCTACCTCTTGCCTGGCGCTGTTTGTGATATTTCTCAAACCTCCCACGAGTGCCAACCGAACCGCTGCATCGGCCACACGCGATGGTCTCGCCCTCCTTAACCCATTCCTTTAAAGTGGAACCGTCGAACCATCCCAATTCCTTGTCGAACCCGCACCTCCCCTCCCTTCCTCTCTCCATCCTACGCAAACCGTCAACCTTCAGGCACACCTCGCCGACTTTCGTCGGCTGTTGGCTCGTTCCTGTCCGAGGCCTTATTGGTACTCCCTCCGTCCAGGTTTATTAGGCCCTTAAGCAAAAACATTATGTCCGTTTTTATTAGGCCCGCTTTGAAAACCATGTAGCTTTTCCCCTCAAATTAACTCCTGAGTGATGATGTCAGAGAGGTTAAACTTCAGAATCTGCGCCACGCATGCATCCCTCCACGCGCGTGAGCTTGCATGCATGCGGGTCATTGGTAGAGGCTGATGGGATGGTGACTGCATGCATGTGTCGGTAATAACTACTTCCTCCATTCCATAATGTAGTGCTTCCTTTATTCCCGCGCTTCAACTTTGACCGTAAATTTAACCACCAAGACCGATTGCGGCGGGAGCAAAAATTATATCAGTGAGTTCGTATTCGAAAGAAGTTTCAATTATATAATTTTTTTCTCCCGCCGCAGTTGGTCTCGTTGGCTAAATTTATGGTCAAAGTTGGACCTCGGAAAACGTGGACGCACTATATTTTGAAATGAAGGGAGTACTGTGCAAAACGAAGCATCAACTATCTACTGGAGAGGTTAATGCCTAAAATAACACATCCATTTGCTAGTTGCCTTGGTCCTATCAATCTTGTCTTTGGGCCCAATAAACCCGGACGGAGGGAGTACCCTTGTATCTCGCTTCGCTCGCCCTGGTGCCACCATCGACATACACGGTGCAGCGGAGCGGCTGTCGATGTCTTTTCAAAGGAATCGATTGAGAGTATGGTGTTTTGGCTCGGCCTCCATGGAGGCCGAATTTTTTTAAAATTTTGAATTCAAAATTGTTGGTTCCAAAAAATCTGAAAAAATTGTACAAATAAACAAGGATATGAAGGGTATGTGTGTATAATTTCAGGATGAAATACGTTGAAATGCGACCTGTACAAAAAAGATAAATTCATAGTCTGGGAGAATGAATAGTATCATCTGTTAGAAGCCTCAGATTTTTTGTTTTCATAGCCCTCATTTCGAAATATTTCATTTTGAAAATTTACACTTGTGCATTATGCCTTCATCTATCTCTATATCTCTTTTTAGAATTTGAATTTGCATTTACGGGCCTTCCTGAAACTCGGCCTCCAAAAGCAATTTTGGATAAACTGACCAAACATCAAATCCAGGCGATTGTCTCGGTCAGGTGTAGCGTCTATTGTACAGTGTGGAAACTGGGACGATGTTTTCAAAATGAAAAGAACTTCTTAAAAGCATGTACAGTGATTAATAAGATAGTTTTATCTTAAGCCTTGCATGTATTTAGAAATGATAATAAAAATATGTCTATAATAGATTATCTTTTAGTCTTATCTTTAATAACTAGCTATTCCTAAAAGCATTATGAGACATATTACACTAAGACTAGTCATAGT